CAAATATATTATTTAATTACTAAAAATAAAATTTTAAAAAATTAATTAACCTAAACATCCTAAGTTTATATATATATTTTTTGAAAAGACCTCTGCTGACGAAATTTCGTCGGCAAAGGTTATTTCGTCGGGAGAAACCTAGTCCGACAAATATTTGCCGGCATAGACCTATCCCGACAAAATTTCGTCGGGAGAAGTGTTTATGTTATTATTATTATTTTTAAAAATATATATATAAAATTAGTTTCTTTACTTACTTTTTTTCGCCCACCTCTTTAATTTAATCAATACCTTACCCTCTTTAGTTTCTTAGTCTTATATATATATATATCTATGTATGTACGTACGTACCTATTTTTTAATCATACATTCGTATTCTATATACATCTACTGTTTTTTTAAAAGGAAACGTACAATAGTCGTATTGTACATGGGCGTACATTTTTCTAATGCTTAATACACATATTTTTTACAAAATTTTCAGTAAGACACACAGAGTTCACGTATTATACAAATAATTCTCACATATTATTGGATAAGAATAAGATATGTTATAAAAATTATACGAAAATATTATACAGTGGCTGATTAATATCTACTTTGGATATGTTGAAACTAGCAAATTAATATCTATAAAATACAAACTAATGAAACTTGGAGGGTCCTTTTTATTTTTATTTTTTTATTTGTATATTAAATAGTAAAGATAGACCTTTTGGAATAGTATAGCCGTGCGGCATTACTACGATTATTTTTCCGAAACTGCTACATCAACACGTGGCGCCTAACGCTGGAGGGTCCTCTTTTTTTCAAAAAAAAAAATAAATATAGTACAGCCGACCGGCTATACTCTGTATTTTTTATTTTTTTTAAAAAATAGAATTGTCTTGACACGTGGCGCTAGATGACTGGGGTCCTCTTTCTTTATATATAAAAATAGTACAGCTTTGATTAATTTAATTATTATTAATGGAAGCCAAACTCAAAACCAAGCCCGTTAGGTCAACTCTACAATGTTAACCGCACTTACTAAATCATCATTGTGCTTTGTTTATAAACACCTTAATAGGAGTGTGAATTTTCGATGTGGAATTCCTAATTTTTTTCACGCTTCTTCATAGTGTTACCAACTCCATCCCTGAATTTCTTTTCTACCTGTTTGCGGAAAAATGCCTTTCCTTTTCCATCATTGGCTTTTCAATAGCTTTTATTCTTCTTTGTAAATCCCGCAAGTCCGAAACACCATCTAATACCGTGGCCACTTTATCTCCATCCAAATGAGAGCTTTCAGCATGCAGAAAGTCATCCTGGAATTATTATTTGCATATATGTACTACTATTTTAATGCATTCTACATTATTAGTTTCCATGTAAAGTTCTCTCCAGGCCTGTATATAACTATGTACACCAATACAAACAATATCAATACAATACAAAACCTTTTTCAGCCTCTGTTTTCTATATCAACTATATATATATATAACCAAGTTTCTTCAACATGAACGATAACGGGAACACACCAATCCCTCAAAGAAAGCTGGGTATTGAGTGGCAAACACAGAATAATACATCACAGTATCTTACTAGATTTTTCTTTCAGTAAATAAACTTAAAGAATAAGTTTTTCATGAGGTAAAATTTCTACGTATTAGAGAGTTTACAAACACTAGGCTAAATTTACATAGACCAAAAAAGTATAGCAAATCAATACAAATTCAATGACTACGGAAAATTCCTAATTCCTAAGCTCTTTAGATATGCATCGACAGACTGCAATATGCATCGACAATTTATAGTCAGCATATGTGAATTTAGGCTTGGGTTGTGGAGTCTCTGGCAGCAAGAGCCGAAATGTCAGCACAGGACACACTGTTGGGGCACTCTTTCTCTACAATCCCTTTATCAATACTCCTAGTAAGTATAGATACTCTTACATGCAGAATCACACGCCCACCCACCCCCAAAGATGCTTCATTCATCTGGATTAGTTGCTTGACCCAAGGCCCAAACCCAAATCATCAACAAACTCTATTCTTATTTCTTGACCAAAGGTCGCTGGGACTAGGATGAAGGGAATCCTTGGTAGTTGCTGGTTTGAAGAAACTTTATAACCGGATGCATCAATCTTCTATTAATTGATGCCGCATCTTTTAATATTTTCGATCAAAGGTAAGTATTGTTGACGTCAACTGTGTGATGACGTCAACTGTGATACTTGTTTGTGTTTTTATTTTTGATAAATAATACAATTTTGTGTTAATAATATCTTGAGTTCTTTGATACAATTCTTATTAACGATCTATATGATGAGTTCAATACTTATATTCAAATTTGTTACTAGTGTTGGAGAAGTCGAGGGCTAAGGGAAACGAGAAGCCAACCTTAATGGACCTACCCAACGATATCCTCATCGACATCCTTACAAGACTGCCGATAAAATCACTTTGTCACATCCGTAGCGTATCTAAGACCTCTCTAAGCATATAGTTGATAACCCATTTTTGGCTACGCTACGTTCACTTAATCTTGTTGTTGAAGTACCTCAACTTATGCTTCTTACTCAAACCTCGTCTTTTATTCCTAGCCACCGTAGCCGCTTTGCCTTGCAATCATTGAACTACAAAGGCGAGCACGACTTCACAAAAAGCAAGTATAGATATACACAGATTTTGTGCAGTCTCCATTATTACGAAGCAGATTTTGTTTTTTGCAACTTGTTTTGCTTTAAAGGGATGGGTAAATGCATATTGGTCAATCCTCTTAGAGGAGAAGTTCTAGATTAAAATACATCAAAGCTAAAACATTACTCCCAGGCATATTCAGTTATGATACTCTTCGTTATCTTCATTGTAAAGAGTGGAGGCAAACGAGCATGTTAAGGTATACTAACAGCATGATTTCCTTGAAGACTTTCGGCAATTTAGTTCGAAGACAATTGCGCAGGGAGACAATTTTTGAAGCAGCAAAATCGAGGACATGGGATTTTGATTTATTGAAAGAGAAGTCTTTGTAATTTGGAGTTGCAATTTTTTATTTATTTAATTTACTGTAAACTTTCATGGATGGAGACCCGGTAAATTTGTTTGGGTATCATTTACTGTTATATGCGAAGCATTATCATAATGGTACATGTAATAGAATTGAAGCTGCAGTGGCTTGAGATGAAATTGAAGCTTCCATATAATAGAATGCTTGCAGAGTTTTTGTTTAACTTGGTACATGTGTTTAGCTGTGGGAAAATAATGTTTCAAATCGTCTTGTTCTCGTGTGTTTTTCTTGTTTATAAATACGTCGAAAATAATGTCAGCTATTGAAAACCATCAGAGTTGCTGCAACACTATTTGCTTTAACACTACCACCTACTTCTCACTCGATTTGCGTCGATAGCAACCTTCCCATCAGTGTACTGCACTAGGCTATAATTTGCAACTGGTTCAGCATGGATCTTATGAAAACCATGGCGTTTTAGTTGTGATTGATTTGAAGTATTTTTGTAAACGACATTTCGTTTAAACTTTGAGTTGGGTCGTAATTCAACCAAATTTCATCTGAGTTGCCAAAGGGCCAAAAAGAACAAGATGCCCCTAAACTGCCCAGAAAGGCTTGTAGCCCGCCATGGGGAAAAAGAAAACAATAATTCGTAGCAAGCCCATACTTCGAATCAAAATAAGCCCTAGGGTATTTATTGCCCGAAGATTTGTAATATGAAAGAAGAATAAATGCAAGAGCCCAGAATTGCAATATTCAGTACTCTCTCTCAAGCTTATGACAACAAAGTTGTTGAAATCAAATCACGGCCGTAAACTAGAATGCCAATTGCCTTCAATTTATTACAACTAACTTCCATTAACAAAAAGAGGCCTACGCTACAGAACTTGATCACCTCAGTTAGTTCATCACTCTTCGCCGACATCTACTTTTGGTTTCTTGGGGTTGGGGCCTTCTCTGGAGTACTCATTTATAGAATCCAAAACTCCTACCCCGTCGGAATTGGCAGCAATAATTATATTCCCACTAACGTTGTTGTTGCCAACTGAGCCGCCGCATGTGCCGTGCGTTCTATTGGCTCCATCATTTTGGGAATGCTCATGCACAGGGCTCAGTTGAGGAGGAACAGGAAGAGGGTGTGCCTTGCTTAGCATATCTTTATGATTCTCATCAATTAACTTTTGATGTTCAGCAGTGCCATATTTTGGGGCTTCTGCACGAGCTTTCATGGCCAGGACATGCCTTTCTTCTTTATTGTATTATACTGAACCCAATTCACCATCTGGGTAGCTGTCCATTGAACCAATAAGTGCAAGTAAAGCATCTGGCACCGTCCATGATGGCTGCCAGTTCAATCCGATCTTGCTTTTGGTTTTGAAGCGACCATTTTCCGACAAAAGCATGATTGAAGGAGGCTCCAATGGGTAATAATCCGAAAACTGGATAAGCCCATGAAAAATCCCACACTCGAAGTCAGTTCCCCTACCGCCTCTGAATGCAAATAGCCATGTAAATGGGTTATACCTGAGCATGCGGCACACGAAACCGACGGCAAGACTGGTTTCAATCTCTTTATACTCCTTTTGAATCCGCATCACCGCTTCACTCCCCTACATGCTGCACTTGTCCTCTGCTATCACACTCCGATCCGATTCCGTCTGCGTGGATACACAACCAGCTCTTCCGTTCCGGTTAACAAAACTTACTTTAAATGTATACAATTATTCTCAAAATACGAAGCGGAAGCCGAGAGAGGAAACAGAGCCTGCGCTGTTTAACTTCATAAGTAGGGCTCCTCATGCAGAGCAAATATGCAGATCTTAGTTGTTGGTGTTTCTTCAGATACCACGTTTTCACCTTCAACAACAATTGTCCACTGTCGAAACACATTATCAACATAACAATATAAATAAATAAAATAAAACATAGCAATTGATCAATTATAAACTCTAATCCAAAATAACAACATCAATCAATATCAATATCATATTAATAAATTCTAATCCATAAAAACACTTCACATATCAATTTCATTACAAATATAAATTCTACTCACTTGAAATTATGGGAGGCGTTGGCAACACAAGGGCTGCTGCAGCGGTAGGAGGTGATCGGCACCGGCGGAGTGGTGGTAGGGTTTGAGAGGGAGAGTGTGTGAGACTAATTTGGGAATTCAGGGTTGGGGATTATAGCTAATTTGGGAATTAAGGATTTGGTGCTAGACTCGGGTAAGATATTAGTACTTTGTGAAGCTTGTTTATATATATAGAGCTTGCGGAAGGTTCCGTATTTCAATTTTGGATCGTGATTTGATGTGAACGCTTCGGATTGGATATCTTTTTTTGGTCATAATGCTTATTGTACTCAAAACCCAAAAAGGTATAAAGATTTTGGTCATAATGCTTGTTGTACTCAAAAACCAAAAAGGTATAAGATACAAAAGCAGATAAAAGCCAGATTGGATATCTATTCTCAAATAATAGGTATGTATATATAGGATATTATACAAATTTGGGGCCCTCCCAATTTGGGGGCCCTAGGCGGCTGTCTTTGCCAGTTTGTGCTCATGAATACTTACTAATACCAAAAATATTTTTATATTTTTTTATAGGTTAATTGGTTAAGACTCAGCTTGTTGAATCCCTTCCCTCGATTAAATTAAATTAATTTGAAGTAGTTAAAAATATAAAAATTATTTCCATAAGACAAAAAAGAAATCTTAAAATTCTACCTACCCCTCGAGGTGGTGGTTGCACGTATTATTGTGGATATGTATAGGAATCACAGTTTATTCTAATACACTTCTGTAATTGAAAGATATCACGAGCAACAATTTAGATTGATAGGGTTTCTAATAAAGAAATTCTAGTATTGCATTTATAATTCAATCAAAAGAAAACCACTAATCACTAGATAAACAGAGCGGCAAGGTTATAATTGTTGAAACTAAGTCTTTATTTTTCGTTAATGGTTCAAAGAGATGGAACTGAATATATTTAAGTGTAAGTTGTTCGTGATATTATATATTGGCGATTTCCACTAACGTTTTGTTAAACGAAACGAAGTGTCCATATTAGTATTTAATCTACATTTTCTAAATAAAAATGGTGCACACTAATTTTTCAATGATAATATGCTTGCTTGATCTGATTTATGTATATATATAGTAGCACCATTCTTTCTTCATTTTCGTTTGACAATCAGTAATTATCCTAACTCATAGGCTAACAAGGATGCATTGTTGTAAGCAGTAAACAGAACCTCTTGCAAATCAAGTTTGGATTGGCAAATGGGACGACTCAGCGTTATAGTCAACTACAACTTGAGAAATGCAAGCTTGCTTGCTTGCTTGCTTAGCATTATAACTCACTCTTTTAATCATTGTTTTCAGTTTGGACTGGGTCGAAAAAATTGTGAACTCAAAGAATTATTGACTTAATCAAATCAAATCGAATAATCGGTTCGGTGTGTTTGGTATGTGGAATATCAAATACTTTCCCTTTAAAAGCATTTCCACCCATTTGCCATAGCAAAAGGCAAGAGGAGACAAGGGTTGTTATTATTTATGTGAATAGTGTTTGCTCCTTGTAATTTTTTTTGTTAGTTTTCCACCCATTACCATGGCGACCCAAGCGCAACCACTTTTCATATGAGATATGAGGAGAGAAATTTGTATAGAGTTTTGGTGTGGAAAGTGAATAATATGGCTATGTATTTATTTTTTAAAAATTCTGAATTTTTGGATTTATTTTTTTTGTTATTTAAATTAACTGCTCACATAAGCATTGTGTCAGCTTTTGTCCTCTCCCCTCCCTAGGGCTTTTACTAGCTTTTGGATGGCTTGTATTGCTTGGTCGTTTTTGCTGGATTTGTGTGGCTGCTTTTGCTTGGTTGCACTCATCTCATCTGCTAATCAATTAAACGTCTTTCGTCCACTCATATCATCTTCTGATTAATATCCCAACATCCATTCAAAAAGAGCCGTTGGTTTAGAATTTCCGGTACGGACCCAAAATGGATCATTCGACTGATCAGACTGAGAGTAGCACTCCATTAGCATTGGCCAATGCCATTGATCAGGAAGCTGCAACAGACAACACAGTTTTAATCAGGGGCTTGGATCTTGATGTTTTCAACGCTGCAAAAGAAGGCAAAACTGATGTCCTTAGTGCTGTTGGAAAAATGGCTCACCTAAAAGGATACAAAGTTTTTTGGCGCTCAAAGGATGATTTTGAATCTGCCTAAAAGCGACCGGTCGCTGGACATTTGCGACCGGTCGTTTTGAAGCAGATTCGAAGTCTGGAAGCAAAACTGAAGAGCGACCGGTCGCTAGTTCTTTGCGACCGGTCGCAGGCACACGAGCGACCGGTCGCTGGACATTTGCGACCGGTCGCTTAGAAGCAGATTCAAAGTCTGGAGGGAAAAATTCTGGCGACCGGTCGCCCATTCCTGACGACCGGTCGCTCCAGTCGTGCTGTGATGCTTTGCTTACGTATTTTCAACTGTCTTTTCAATGGCTATCGCTTTCCACGAGTTTGCAGGTGCTTAATGGATCACTTCTGAGGTAAAAGAGGGTTGACTACCTGCTGGATAGTTGGGAGAGCACTCATGGCTAATTGGTTATCCTATTTTGATTAATCTCCTCTCCATTTTCTGGTTTAATGGAGGTGGCTGAGTGGGATTGTATTACCTACCTAATCTGACCCTTAGTCTAAGTGGTGACTAAAAGGAAAGAACGTGGAGGACAATCAGATATCCTATCTCTTGTCCATTGGCCTGTGTAGGTAATGGGATGAAGTAAGATAACACAAGGGAGAAAGAATGTTGAACAAATGTAGTGGCAAAAGCTGGAAACTAGTTAGAGTTTTTCTGTGAGAGTTTCAGAAAAACCAAGGGGAGAGTAAGAGAGTTCTCTAAGTGTATCAAGGTGTTGAGCAAGGGTGAGTGAGAAACAGATTGTGAGGGTAGTGTTCTAAGGGGGTTTCCTTTGTAAACCAAAGTTGTAACCTATCTTTATTAGTGAAATTTCTCAAGGTGATCACCAAAGAGGATGTAGGCAATTTGCTGAACCTCTATAAACACTTGTGTCATTTGTGCTTGGTTAATTTCTGTGTGTGTGTGTAAAACTCATCCATCATTGAGGTCTTTGTCTAAAGTCCATCAACAACAAGATCTTAAAAGGGCAGTGAGTTAGTCTTTAATTCACAACAAGTGCTGGACACCATCTTGACCAAATATTGACTCCAACCAAGAACACGGTCCTCCATATTTATATAGCTTTTGCAAGCAGCCCAAATTTTGTCGAACCAAAAGAAAAAGCGTTGAGGCCACCCAGCGTTGTGGATAAAATCCTTCAAATGTGTCCAGCACTGCTATTGCAGAAGAACGAGAGTGGCGAGACTGCCTTACACATTGCGGCCAGACATGGGCGTGCTGATATAGTTGAACTTCTTATCAAAACTGCAAAAGCTGGCCCTTGTGAAGACCTTGAGAATGGGCCCTCATCATCAGTAGACGCCAGCTGGCAGAAGCTCATAAGGGAAACCAATAAGGAGAAGGACACAGCCTTGCACTTTGCAGTGCGATTTAATCACTTTCGTGTGGTGGAGATACTGACCAGAGAAGACCCTGACTTTTCCTCCTCTGCTAATGATGCTGGGGAGACTCCACTTTATTTGGCTGCCGAGAGGAAATATGGTGTTTTGTTCTCTCAAATACTTAGCACTTGCACGGATCCAAATTACCAAGGCCCCATTGGAAGAACGGCTTTGCATGCTGCAGCGATTAACGGTGATAAAAGTATATAAACTTACATTTTCTTTTCCTTTTTGATTCACTTTCCAATTATACATTGTTTTTTATTCACTTTCCTTTTGGGTGGGATATTTCTGAAGCTAACTGAATCAAGCCGATGGTGAACCGACCACGGTTAGTAAAACCTATGGACGGGTCACTCCCAAAAGACGTTGGTTCGGTTGTTAGAATGTGTCTCTCGGTTCATCTTGGTTCGGTTGCCTAACCCAGTTTGTATTTATTTTTATTTCATTTTTTTTAAATTTAGAAATGACCAAAGAAATACTAGAGAAGAAAAAGGATTTGGCGATAGCAGCAGATGAACAAGGGTGGACCCCACTTCATTGCGCTGCACTCTCTGGTTGTACTTCAATTGTAAAACAACTACTGTAAGCTCATAGATCCTCTGCCTACATTGTTGACAAAGCTGATAAGAAGACCGCTCTTCACATCGCAGCCTACAGAGGCCATGTAGGTGTAGTGAAACAACTTATTTCTCATTGTCCTGATTGTTGTGAACTGGTCGACCAAAGACGTCGAAATGCTCTTCATTATGCTTTGGAGAAACATCAATCACAAATCACGACTATTGTTCTAAAGGATTCATGGCTTAGCAACATCCTCCTAAATGCCAAGGACGTTGACGGCAACACACCCCTCCACCTACTTGATGTTTCTTTCGGCGGGACTCGTTTCATTGGTGATGCTAGAGTTGATAAGATGGCATTCAATAAGGAAAACATGAACGCTCTTGATGTCATTATAGCTGATGATTCAAGAAATGAGGTATGAACTTTTATCT